TTATTGAACCTCGAAAGCAATAAACTATGAGTCGATAAATATTACATTTGCAACATAGTTAACATTCTTCTACTGTCTCTGGCACTTATTACACATTGTAACCGCAAGTCTACAATACATTATTCATATTTGGGGTGTCACTGAGTGATGGATTGCTGTAAGAGAGGCTGTCCTTTAAATAAATCAACAAATAAAAATGCAAATGTTAACATTTTCAGCCACAACTTTTTCCATCGTGAATGGGGAATGAAAATTTCACATTATATCGACAGCCAGCAGAGAGAACAATTAACAACCTACACTGTGAATAAGAGAGATTAATTTGCCAACGTCTGGTTTTATCACTTGCATATGGAACTATATTGGACTTTTCGTGCTGTTAGCTCTCCTCGGGGAAAAGAGAAAACTTGTCTCCTATCATGTTCACCACCCCATCCACCACCCCTCTCCATACATGCTCTTAATTCCTTAAAATGTTTATAAGTTAGGCATGGAGTGAAAGATGTTTCCCCCCCACTCCTTTGAATTTGAAATCGTGTCTGATATGGGAAAAAGTACTGATGTTCCTTCAGAAGTGTTTACTAATACAAGCTCTTTAGAGAAATAAGAGCTTCGGAATACCATTTTAAGAGCAGAAACACATTTAAAGCATCTGAGATGCTTGGATCTGAAAAACAACCACGGTGTACACAATTGCAGCTAATGCTTTTTCAGATCACTGTTTTATTTACCAAGCGCGCCGTGTAATGAATCTGCTACATGCTATTCCAACGTGCACTATTAAGTATACAACTTTGTGCATTACATTTTACATCAAATATTAATTTGCTTAAACGTCCCTGAATACACATCTACCTTATCAGAGATGTGCTGGGCAACTGGATAAATAATTCTGTTTGTAAAAAGCCCCTAAACAGAAATTTCCACAATGCAACTTGTTTGTAAAATTCCAAAAGGCCGCTGTGGTCTAACAGATAATAGCGTGGCAAGGGTGTAATACGGATGTTGCAGAAACTTTTAAATCTCTTTTATTTTAACATCTAAAAGGAACTTACCTCCAAAAATATACATCTGGCTAGCATTAAAGGTCTACTTGAGAGCTGCAACAAGAACATTTAGGTTTATACAGCTGAAATCCCAGGCTATCACCCACGGCTTTAATTCACTTCTTTGCTAAACCCATCAGAAATTGTTTTCTCCAGCTGTCCAAAGAGGGAAAGACAGAAATTTAGCAGAGTTACAGAGGGGCCTGGCAACAGCAAGACCCTTGAGGGCCTGTATCCTCCCTGCCCATGTCCAGATGAATGTGGACGTTTGGTTTGCCATGGACTATTAGCGGCGGCACACCTTGTGCTGCCACTAGTTGTCCCTGGAGAACACCTGTGCCACGCATGCTCTGGTGCACAGCAATTGTCCCAGGTAGGGTAGACGAGGCTGGGGCCAGCCCTGGGTTGGCCCCTGGAGCCTTACCTGGGGTCCTGAGAGCCTCCCAGAACTGTAGCAGCAGTGATCCTGCCACCCAGAGCCAGGCCAGCAGCTGCAGTTTTGAGTTTAGTGTACAGCCTCTGTGCGCGCCGCTCTGCTTTTTTTTGGCACAGGTCTTTTTTTGACCCCTGGATATGAATGGGTCAAAAAAAACCCACCCCGTGGTGGTCCCTTGCAGACGAGTCTGCGGTGCCACATACCACATGGCCGTGTTTGTCTGGATGTGGCCTTTGGGTCTAACTGGCAGGCACTGCCCTAGGACTTACCAAGTCAAAGCCTGATGTTACAACAGTGCTTGTGGGGGGAGACCTAACCCTGTCTGGTGCCTCACCGAATTCACAGGAAAGGGTCCCAGGTACAAAGCCAGTTCCACAGTTGGTGCTTTCTTGTAAAACACCTGGTTTTATATTTTGATGTGGAATAATTATACCCTTTTTGGTACCAAGGGCCTTTGCTTTCCCGAGATCAGTGTTCCATTATATCAGAAATGAATCCCTACTTTACGCAAAACCTCCCTGAATTCCTGCCTTTAGTGAGGATGCAAAATCAGGTTTCTGATGCGAGTTTTAATAGTCACACCTCCCTTTCAAAGCTCACTTCCAAGTCACAGCCAAAAACACTGTTTTGCCTGTAAAAAAAAAGCCAGGAAGAGCAGTACGTAAGGGGGAGCAGGTCCTGCGGTCAGGTCCGAACACACCAGGCAGAGAAACCAGGTTTTGAGGGACAAGATATGTTCTTCTTCCAAACAAGCCATTATCATCTTGTCACAGGAAACCTACCCTGAACCTGTCTTACCTGGTTGTTATCTCAGCCTGCCTCAACCAGGCTTTACAACCGTCAGGATATGGAAAAGCTTTCTAAACCTGCTGTGAACCAAGCTCAGAGAGGTTTGCAGAGATGTAGCCGCCTGCCCTGTACGCCATTTATGCCGTAACTGTCATGTTAGGAAAAGCAGGTGGTGGAGATGCACATTAGCTGCTTCTCCAAAGCTGACGGATCAGATGCTCAGATGTACTTTGCTTGAAAAGAAGACATGGCCCATATCATTCCTTTATAGCTAGCTTGCTAACATTAATTTTGAAAGCCAAAAATCTTGTGTGTCCAGATCTAACCTACCAAAGCATCTCAAGCCCTCAAGATCTCTATTTCTATTGTACTTTGGGCCTGCAGGTACCTCATCCAAAGACAGAGCAGAAGCTAGGACCACTTGTCTCTCTCAAGGAGGTAATGTGAAATATCCCTGGAAGATTGTCCAGGAAGCATGGCAGGAAACACCAATGGGCTGCCATGCGGGTGCCCTGGTCATGCCTACGTATCCAGGCAACACTGCCCTCTTCCCACAGCTGTGCTAGCATCTGAACACCTTGCACTGGCTGTCACTCTCCAAACCTTCCTCCCTGGCAGATTTTCTCCTGCTGCTGCTGTGTGCCAGGGTTTATGCTAGTTAGGTCTGGCATAAACATGAGTTGAATCTAGTCCCCATAAATTTAAATAGTCAAAAGTAATTACATTACAAGTATGGCAGATTAAATAAATTTGCTCTTAGGCTAAAGCTTTGTACAGCAAATTTCAGTCCCTGGCCAACTGTTGTGGTTAAGCTGTTAACTCCCCCCAAATCATGGATTATAACGAACATGCTGACAGACCCTTAACTTTAGTGGCACAAAAGCAGCCATAATTCTCAATATTGATTAATTTAGTTAGTTAAACCTGCAGTCTAAGCTTATAACCATTCGGTGATAAATTGAGACTGACCTGCTGCCCAAGCAGGTTTTTTGATGAAGGATAGGATCAGCTTTAGGTCTCCGCAGAAATACTTGTCCATTTACCATTTTCAATTAGAGAAGCCCATGAGTAAGGAAAAGCACAACATGGATACTTAACTTGGTCAATTATACTCACATGCAGCCTCAACCAAGACAGAGACAGAGCGGGAGGGATAGTCCAGGAAGTATGGAATTTGTCAAAATTTTTCATTAGCTAGTAAAACAAACCTTTAAAGGTGACGGGTAATCAGAATCATTTTCTGGATCCGCTTCTCTATCTGACATCGCTTTCAAACACTGTACTGCAACACCTATTTCACTCTCCGTTGCAGTTACAGCATAGCCCTTCCATCCTTTGGAAATCAGATTCCTTTTTCTGACCACTTCTGGTCTGACTGCATTTTTTTTAATATGCGGACAGTTATCTTATATCTGCTCCTCAGTCTTCGGATGAAGTTTCAGCCTTGCTTCTAAACTGTCACTGGTAACACCCAGCAAAATCCTTACAGACACTCATCAGTCAACACTGCCAGCTTCCAGAGACAATGCTGACTGCTGAGAATAACGCTTATGTAGTTGTGGGCTTCTTGTTTGCTTAAACATGCAGCTGTGGAAAGCAGAGCCCCATCCATCTCGATTTCTCATATCATTCCCGTAGTATCAGCCTTTTCTTCAAAAGAAAAATTTTGTTTCTATTGCTGAATAAGTACAAATCTGTCAATATTAATAGTGGTTTTTCCACCTATTATATATCACAAGTTGCTTCAAAAGATAGAAATAAACTGCCAGCTGCTGCCAAGAACACAGGGATGATAGAAAACACACATTTGCTTTGTCCAACGGGTTAAGAAAAGATTAAAACTGATTCTACCATCAAGCACTTTAGTTTCTCCAACTAATGTTTAATTCTTCTTATAAGATGTGTCCTACATTTTAGTCATCCTGTTGCAGAGAAGTGCAACCAGTGTTGCAAAATGAAATATATTTCTATATTAACATAGAGTCAATTTGACACAAGGGTTTCTGGTTTGGTTTTTTTTTCTGTTTGTTTTGGGTGGTGGGGGGAATTTACACCGGAATTGGGGGAAGGGGAGACGGTGTGTTGCTGTTCTCATTGTGTGTGTTTTTAAAAATACTCAGCGCTTCAATGCAATCCCCCCAAAAGGCAAAGATGGATTTAGACTCCTCAGGGCAACCACAATGCTTTCTTCTTCGTTGGAGCAGGAGTGATAATGCTGCTTTCCGACAGCCTTTACAGCTGATACAGAGTATAATCAGGAGGTGCTGACTTAATGTGATTTTGTTACTTGTCATTAAACATAAAATAACATTTGTAAAAAAAAAAGAAAAAAGGAGAAAGAAATGCCGTTTGGTACAATATAGAGAAGGAGGGAGAAATATATGGGGATTACAATCTTCAAGTGGATTTAAAGTCTAACGGGTTAACACCATCCCTTTAAATTATTTACAAATGTGTCTAATGTGTCAGGGCTTGGAACATAAAATACTTTCTGTTCAAAATATCGAATAAAATTAAAATGTTAAAACTTGGCATATTCCTGCTTTTCTTATTCTAACAAGCAATTTAAGGCTTACTATAAATGTCAAAGGATATGGCAGTTTTTAGTTTATATTATCCAGCTTGCATTAACATGAAAAATCATAGAAACTCCGGCAGTTTCCTGCATCTCGGGGAATTTGATGGTTGCATTTGCAGAATCTTAAACCAGAGATTACCCAGCAGCTTACCGTGAAGTGTCATGCTGGATTGGTGATGTGGCTGTGGTTACAAGCTCTTTTCTGCTGCTTGTCAGCGCGGGAGACGTAGCTGCATCCTTTCTAGATCCTGAAGCTGTCCCTGCGGAGAGAAGGGGAAGGCAATCCAGTGGGAATTAGAGGCCGGGAAGTTCTGGACAGCTCTTCTGCTGTTTTACGTTATTACAGAACACAGGGCCCAAAGTTGTGCCATTCTTCAGGGTACTGTATATACAGCAAGACTGCAACCAAAGGAGTCGTTACCAGCTGACAGGTACTATGCATAATGCACATTTCCAGGATCATGTAGAATCATATTTACATAATAAGGCACCCACCGCAGTCTTTGCATTACTACCATGTTTCCAAAGCTTGACAGACTTGCCGTTATCGCTAGTCCTTGTCCACAGAATCCATTTTAGTTTACAGCGCCAGCTCTTATGAACTTCCACAAGGTGTTAGTTTTCCTTGGGTTTTTTTTTTTTCTAAACTATCACCATAACAATATACTGCTCTCCCAATAAAACCTGACTTTTAGTCTGTCCCCGCTTCCCCAAAATGTAGTAATATTTTTCACTTAACTTGCAGCTTATCACTAGAGGACCACAAACTGAATCAAGCCTCACACCACCATTGTAAAGCTGATAAGGCTTATTGTAAACCACTTTAAAATGGGTAAATTGAAGTTGAGAGACTTTCCAGGAGATGCACTGGAAGCCAGTGATGTAGTTAGGAACAGATGGGACTGTATGTCTGATCCACTATGGCATGTGCATTTTGAAGGCCAGTGTCCCTGCTCTCAGCACCAAGCGCTGCCCAGCCAAACGCTGAATGCATGACAAACACAAGTCCCAGAAAAAATTAAGAGTCAAGTCAAGAAACTTATTTCTTAAGTACTGCTATTGTGCATAGGCATTTCTAGGCTCTTTGAACAGTGAGTAATATTACCTGTCATACCCGCTGAAATATGGAGTAATCAATCAAGGATGGAATTTCAGCCTTAAAGATGAATTTCTGCAGTCTTCTGAATGCCCAATAAGACTCTTAACATTACTTAAAATGTTTTGTTGATTTGAGATGCATAAAAACATTTGCATGCAATCAGGTCCTACAGTAGAAATGTTTTCACTTGAGTTTCGGTGGAGGCTAGCAAATCAAAAATGTCCTATTGTTTCATTCTACGCTACGATTTAGCTTTAAGTAGCAAGAGTTAATTACTGATGGCGTCATTCTTAAGGCTACAATGACAATGTATGGTAACTGCGCCCCTGGCAACCTAGGACCACAATGTACCAATTCAGAGCAAAATTTGTATCCAAGAGAGAGACTGGAGCCTGCTGCTTAAATAAACTGAACTTATTTAGAAACAGCATCGTATAACAATGGCACATGATTACTAAACTCTAAGACAGGAATACTGCAAAAATAAAGAAACCAGTGGATATGGGATGAGACATTACAGTCTTAGTATGGGAGAAGGCTGATGAATATTACACAAGCTGTGTTTAAGGCATAACAGGCTCATTTCACTGAAAAAGAAAAATATACGGAAACAAAAGTGGCCAACGCAGCCTGATGAGGAACTGTTCAGAAACCAAGTGAAAATATCCTCAGGTCTAGAAATAGAGAGATGACAGGGGAAGCTTTTTTTTTTTTTTAAAGCAAAAGCGAAGAATACACAGAAACAAAAAAGCTTCTGTAAATATATCAGGAGAAAAGCAACACAAGTCTATTGAAGGAAGAGAAACACTCAAGAGTAAGTAGGCCCATTAATAAGAGGAGGGAGATTAAATCAATGATGATTCAAAAATGGCTCGGCTCCTGAACCTTTTCAAATCCACTCTTACAGGAAAAAGAAAGGAAGAGGGGCACTGGCGAGTAGAAAGCACGTGAAGACCTTGCACAATACTTGCTGATAAAAGGAGTTCTGAGTGGAAACACAAATCATTGGGCCTGGAAGATATACGTTGCGGGGACTAAAGGGAATCAACTAATGAATTTATGAAGCTCCTGGTAATTATTTATGAAAAGTCATGAAGAATTGGGCGGTACTAGAAGACAGGACATTAATTAAATTTGCAGGTGGTGTAAAATGCCGGCGTGATGAGGAAAAAATGGAAAGAATCCAGAGACTAAAGAATATGGCAAGGAAAAAAAACACATACATGTCCACTTTCGTTCTTCCAGATTGGAAGAGGAGGGAAGAGTTCAAAAACAGGCTGCAAGTGGGAAGAGTCGACTTGAAATTAAGGAAAGACAGAAAGCAAATGAGACAGAAGCTTGCAAAACAATGTGTAGTTCACAAGATCTGGGGCCACGCAAGCCAAGTTTTCTCTGCCTCGCAAATGGTCATGCTAAGATTGCACACATCCCAGTTTCAGCAAACTAGTTATCAGAAAGATGTTAATTAATTGTCAAAGGGTTGAAAGGACTTCTCTATGGAGATTAATGCAAATAAATGTATTCAGCTTCACCAAAATACAAATATCCAGAGGAAAGCAGGGAGAACGTGGTCATCTGGGTTTGGAAAGTAGAAATCTGAAGGAGAAAGAAAATGGTCAGAGTGGTCCAAAAAGGAATATGATTAAAGCAATTGATGGGAACTGTAGATGACACTGAGGAAGAAAAGAATGGGATCATAGGAATAACTCCTAACATTTACCATTTATATGCAGCAGCCAAGGCTCTTTGGGTGAATCTGGTATCTTTTATTAGACCAACTTAAATAGTTGGGGGAAAAAAACTGCTAGCAAACTTTGAGGTTTAAAAACCCTTCGTCATGCTGAGGAAGCCTCTGCAGTTGGTTTTTAAACCCAAAAGCTTGCTAAGACTTTTTTTTTCCAACTATTTGAGTTGGTCTAATAAAAGATATCAGATTCACCCAAAGAACCTTGTCTGCCTGCATCCTTAGACCAACATGGCTTCAACCAACACCCCTCACAGTTTATACGGCATTTCACATCTTCTAATTAACCCTATTATATTGTGAGAAAATCTTCCCTGGAGGGAAGTAGAAGGTTCAAGGCCAGATGCCTAAAAAGCGGAGGGGGGTGGGGGGAAGAAACCAAACACAGGCTGGAATAATTGAAGCCAGTCAGAAATATGAACTTGATCATAAGGAAGTAGGGCTGGAAGGGACCTCATGACATCGAGTCCAGCCCCCTGCTGAAGGCAGGACCATCTTTGACTAAACCATCCCAGCCAAGTGCCTGTCCAACCTGATTTTGAAAATTTCCAAGGAAGAAGACTCCACAAACTCTCTAGGCAGCCTCTTCTGCTCCCTGCTCTCCTCCAGAGCCAGGAAGTTCCTCCTAATCTCCAGTCTAAATTTCCTCTGCTGCAGCTTGAGGCCATCACTCCTAGTCCTGTCCCCAGTGGCCACGGAGGAAAGCCCAGCCCCACCTTTTCTGTACCTGCCCTTGAAGTATTCAAAAGCTCTCATTAAATCCCCCACTCAGTCTTCTCTTCTCTTGACTAAATGACCCTAGCTCTTTCAGCCTTTCCTTGTGAGACATGTTCCCAGGCCCCATTTTTGTTGCTCTGCACTGGACTCTTTCCAAATCTGGCCAAATCCTTCTTGAAGTGTGGGGCCCAAAACTGGACACAGTGCTTCAGGTGAGACCTCACCAGTGTTGAACAGAAGGGAAGAATCTCTTCCTTTGATTTGCAAGTGATATGCCTGCTCATACAACCTAATCCATGTTGGATTTTTTTTTTTTTTGAGCTAGAGCACACTGTTGGCTCATATTGAGCTTATGATCTACTGTAAACCCTAGGCCCTTCTCTGCAGTACTGCATCCCCTAGTTTGCATTTGTTCTGTCCCAAGGGCAGGACGTTGCACTTGTCCTTGCTGAATCTCATCAGATTGACTGTGGAACACTTCCCCAATCTATCCAGGTCATTCTGGATCCCAGCTCTGCCCTTCAGAGCGTCTGCAGCTCCATTCAGCTTGTTGCCATTGAGCCATTGATGACTCCCTGATGATTCAACCGTGCACGGTACAGAACTTGCATCCAGTCTCTGCTTATCTAACCAAGAATGACGTTTCCTTCTTTAGTTTTCAGCTTTCCGATGCAATGGCAGGGGCCGTGCAAGCCACACAACAGGGCTGTCCAATTCATCTGGGTTGACAGGCCATATTCCAACTCCAGGGCTTCTCGCAGGCCAGACGACCCACCTCTGGTGTTGGAGCAAACGGCAGTGCCGTTAACCCTCGTGTAGTGACCGTGCTGCCACCGTTTTCCCTATCACATTCCCAATGAGGCTCTCAACCTGGATATTCTGGGTAGGGTGAGCCATGGCAGCGTTATACCATCCCAGTACTTGCCCTGCCGACACAGGCTTTAGCAGCCATGTGGGTTAATGAAAATGCACGTGCCCTGCTGCAGAATTTCCAGCCCCACCGGCCACAATTTAACCACTTGGACAGCCCTGCCACACAATACTGCACAAAAGCTAGAGACATACTAATTCCTACTTCTTTTCTCTCAAGGAAGAGAGACATCTGTAGGAAAGAGGCTAAAAGGCAGACTTAGAAGATGGTTAAGAAGTAAAGTAGTCAAGATTATTAAAGAACATAATGGACAAAACCCCACCTTTGCTTCCAGGACTAAAAGCAAGAGTATTCTGAAGAGAGGGACTTTTGCAGTCCTGGGTCTTTTAACTAGAAAACGTGTTAGATTTTGGTACATATTGACACAGCCAGCAGCGTAGGGACATAGCCAGGTGCCCAGGGAACAGGGGCAGCAGTGATTTCTCATTGCAATTGCATGACTGCCAGCAACAGCTGGTTTTTTTCATGCCCCCTTTCCCCACCCAAGTCGGCACTCCAACCCTAGTTACACGACTGCACATATTTGCTGTTAACACTGATAAAACCAGCTTGCTGCTGCAAAGAGACAAGACCTGAGGGCTACATCACTTGCTTGAAACCAAGGCATATGCTTGCTGTTAAACCTAAAAATTAGGCTGGAAGAAACACACCTGTAAAAGCAGTGAGAGAAAAATAAGCAGCAAACAAAAATCACCGCAGACAAGACAAAAAATGACAAAGAAATAAATAATGATTGGATAAGCAGACCCAAACCCCAGGCTCATGTGCACTCAGATAGCATAAGCACTACTTTTCCCCTTGCAGAGGATTCAGGACCCAGTGATGAGGCCAAGTTGACACTGCCATCCTCTCCCTTTCCAGATGCATGGCAGGGAGAAGGGAAGTTGGGTAATTCTACCTGAAGCCTCGAAGCTCATAACACTTTATTAACTAAATAAAACCGGGAGCTGTAAGGCTTTGTCGTTGTAATTTGGCCGAACAAACTCAGCATTCAGTACTGAAATGTTTTGCCACCTTGACTTTTTGCCTTTGACAAGAAAAGGTAACAGGCCAAATGAAGCAATTGCTTTGGTTCACTGGTTAATCTTTTCAGCCTCATTAAAAAAAAAGGTTTAAAGTTAGCAAGTTATCATCTAAGACTAGCTTCACAATCTAATGGAGAGAGCATATGTGGCGGTGGAGAAGTACCACCAGGATGAATAGCAGGTTCTAGCCCAACTGGGGCATGAAGGGTCCATACCCAGGTATGACTATTACCTAGACATTATACTATATTGCAGCCCAAACCCCATTGCTGGTAGTGGCGTATCACATGTTAACAGACTATCCCTACACCTCAAGGAGCGTGCAGTACACAAAAAGACAAAAGGCAGGAGAATAAAACCATTTGTAATTCATGTTTAAAAATCTGCGTCTGAAGAGACTCGCTCTTGGTTCCACGTGGTCCTGTGTATCCTATCCCGACAGGGATATTTTTGGTAAATTATAGCAAGTCTAAAGAAATAGGTAAGGGCAATCGAATCGCAGGCCTAGAGGACCAGTCTGATAGTGCTTCTTCTCTGCTCCCACACAGGACGGTTTAGCTGAGATGCATGCATGCATGCACTGCGGTAGAGGGTCAGGAGATTCTCTTCCATCATGCACTAACCACTTGCTTGAGACAGATCAATCAGGTCTGGAACCGTATGGCTTGACCGATGCTTGAACATGCCTCAAAACAAGGTGCCTTGTGCTGGACTGTCAATTCAAAGAAACAGGGTCAGGCACCCTACACAGTCAATGGGGAGAGCTAGACGGACAGTACAGAGAGGATGGGCACTGAGTGGGAAGCCACGTGGCAAAAGTCAATGGAAAAAGGTAAAGCACAGGACTGTGCGAGCTCCTGCCCCTCGTCGGAGCTTAGACATTGAAGATCAGTCCCGTCAGGGGGCTTGGGTGCTTTCAGTGATGATCTGCCTTATCCTGGCTCACAACAGAGCCAAGGAGCGAATTAGGCCCATGGATCGTCACAGTGAGATGCTTCCCTGTGATCATGACAGCCTATGCTACAGCAGCCTAGAGATACCTGCAGTCTGAAACGTAGGTGGGGAATGAATATAGGCACCGTATATTAATTCATACAGAGCAGGGGGATTCAGGATCACTTTGTGTGGTTATATTCTAGCTGATGCCTGGTTATCAGTCTGGATCTGGTCTTAAAACCTGAAGCAGGAGCTCACTGTACAACCTTGAAACAGTGTGACTGTGGTGGCAAGCTCTAGTGATGGCAAAGCTAGGGAAAGAGAAGGGCCAGAATACAACCGGAATAGGATTCAGAAGCCAGAGGATTGTGAGCCAGTCCTACTCAAAAAAAATTTTAAAAATGCCTTGTGTGTCCTTGTTAAAGGAGCCTAAACATATAACAGAGGGAAGCCAATTAAAAAGGTACTAAATGCAGAAGACTTCAACTTCAGTGATTAGTGCTAGGTAATTTGCCTTGTGATAAACAAGCCATCCAAATCAGTAATAGTCCTGAGGTGATTCCACAGCTTGAAAGCACTTCTCCCAACTTTGTCTGGTGACACAGCAAATGCAAACGTATTAAGTCAAACTTTGCCATGCAACTCCATGTCAGCTGTTGAGATTTCAGAGAGGCGTCTGTTTGAATGAGAGTAGGGGTCCTGGTTCTTACTGCCGGTCACTTAGATTGCCAGGCTGGAAGGGACAGCCTGTATTTTTGTTCCAACTGCTAGAGAATGAGAAGAATTAGGGGAAAGACCAAGCCCTTTTTTTCTTTTTTCTTTTTTTTTTTTTTTTGAGAGAGAGAGCGAGCTGTGGATAGAAGTTAATTCCTGGGAATCCCCTTATCCAAGAAAAATCCTCCAACAGATGTGAAAAATCTCAATTTCACCACTGCAGCTCTTCTAGGGAGAGAGGGTGAGCAGAAAAGAAAGAAATCACGATGGCTAAAAAAAAAAAAAAAAA